GTAATTTACTTTCAAATTGTTCAGGAAAACATTCCTTTCTACTGTACTTTGTAACTTTTCAGCAATTTTGCTTTATTGTTTCAAAATTAAAAATTTAAAACAATCCAAACTTCACTTAATTCCAGAGAGGACCACTAGGTGGTGTCCTTAGACCAGAGAGCTGGTTTTACTTGGCCCTTTGCTTGCTGGATTTGAAAAACAAGTTTATCTGTTGATTAAAAAAAAAAAATGGTTGAGGGGCTGGCCCGGTGGTGTAGTGGTTAAGTTCACACGTTCCATTTCGGCGGCCGGGGGTTCACCGGTTCGGATCCCGGGTGTGGACATGGCACTGCTTGGCAAGCCATGCTGTGGTAGGCGTCCCACGTATAAAGTAGAGGAAGATGGGCACGGATGTTAGCTCAGGGCCAGTCTTCCTCAGCAAAAAGAGGAGGATTGGTGGCAGATGTTAGCTCAGGGCTAATCTTCCTCAAAAAAAAAAAAAAAGGGTTGATCTGTTGATGGGCACTTAGGTTGCTTCCAAGTCTTGGCTATTGTGAATAAAGCTGCAATGAACATAGGGATGCATCTATCTTTTCGAATTAGTGTTTTTGTGTTCTTTGGATAAATACCCAGAAGTGGAATAGCTGGATCATATGGTATTTCTATTTTTAATTTTTTGAGAAATCTCCATACTGTTTTCCATAGTGGGTGCACCACTTTACATTCCCACCAGCAGTGTATGAGGGTTTCTTTTTCTCCACATCCTCTCCAACACTAGTTATTTCTTGTCTTTTTAATAGCCATCCGGACGGGTGTGAGGTGATATCTCATTGTGGTTTTGATTTGCGTTTCCCTAATAATTAGTCATGTTGAACATCTTTCCATGTGCCTGTTGGCCGGCCATCTGTATATCTTCTTTGGAAAAATGTCTGTTCATATCCTGTGCCTATTTTTTGATCAGGGTGTTAATTTTTTTTTGTTGTTGAATTATGTGAGTTCTTTATATATTTTGAAATTAACCCCTTGACAGATATATGATTGCAAGTATTTTCTCCCAGTTGGTAGGTTGTCTTTTCATTTTGTTGATGGTTTCCTTTGCCATGCAGAAGCTTTTTAGTTTGATGTAGTCTCATTTGTTTATTTTTTCATTCCCTTGCCTGAGGAGACATGATGTTCAAAAAGATACTGTTAAGACCTCTGTTGAAGAGCATACTGCCTATGTTTTCTTCTAGGAGTTTTATGGTTTCCGGTCTTAATTCAAAAATACTACTCAGCCGTAAGAAAAGATGAAATCGTGCCGCTTGTGACAATGTGGATGGACCTTGAGGGTATTAAGTGAAATAAGTCAGATGGAGAAAGACAAACACCTTATTGATTTCACTCATATGTGGAAGATAAAGAAACACATAGATACGGAGAACCGATTAGTGGTTACTAGAGGGGAAGAGGGTGGGGGGAGGGCAAAAGGGGTAAAGGGGCACATGTCTATGGTGATGGATGGCAACTAGACTTTTGGTGAACACGATGCAGTCAATATAGAAGTTGAGATATAATGATGTACACCTGAAATATTTATACAATGTTAAATCAATCTGACCTCAATAAAAAAGAAAGTTTATTTCTTTACTTTAAAAAAGGAAAGTTTTGGGGCCGGCCCCGTGGCTGAGTGGTTAAGTTCGTGTGCTCTGCTTGGGCAGCCCAGGGTTTCACCGGTTCAGATCCTGGATGCAGACATGGCACCACTCATTAGGCTATGCTGAGGCGGCGTCCCACATGCCACAACTAGAAGGACCCACAACTAAAACATGCAACTATGTACTGGGGGGATTTGGGGAGAAAAAGCAGAAACAAAAAAAAGTTTTGTGGGTTTCCCTTGCTTCAGCACATGAATAGGGACATAAATCAAACCATAGGCAGTTTTATTCATTTTAGGGTATCTCCACGAAGTTGAGAATAGATTTCCTTTATTTTATTTTAATTTTTTTTAGGAAGATTAGCCCTGAGCCAACTGCTGCCAATCCTCCCCTTTTTGCTGAGGAAGACTGATCCTGAGCTAACCTCCCATCTTTCTCTACTTTATACGTGGGACACCTACCACGGCATGGGTGCCAAGGGGTGCCATGTCCACACTTGGGATCCGAACAGCCAAACCCCAGGCTGCCGAAGCACAACGTGCACACTTAACCGCTGTGCCGCCGGGCTGGTCCCAAGATTTCCTTTTTTGATTTCATTTCTTTTGGCTAGGGTTTCTCAGCCTTGGCACTGTTGACATTTTTGGGCTGGATAGTTCTTTGTTGTGGGGGCTGTCCTGTGCCTTCCAGGATGTTTAGCAGCATCCCTGACTTCTACCCACTAGATGTCAGTACATCCCTCCAGTTGCAACAATCAAAAGTGTCTCCAGACGTTGCCAGATGTCCTCTGGAAGACAAAAATCACCTGCAGGTTGAGAACCACGGTTTTTGGCAGTGAGATGGTCTCTGCTCGGGGCAGTTTGGATCCCCTTTGCTCAACAGGGAGCCTAGGAGGTAGCTGATTACCCCTGGAATGGCTGGTACATAGTGTGTTGGGGGCAAGCTTTGGGTGGTGGGAACTGAACCCCAGGACCTGAGGTGGGTGCTCAGTGCTGCACCACTTAGGGGTGCTGTTCTGTGCAGGGACAAGCCACAGAGCTCAGGGTGTCAGGAAAGGCCTAGACAACCAGCCAGGAAGGATAAGTCCTGAGTTTGAGGAAGGAAAAGATAAGAGAAGGCTGGGACAGGATGCAAACTCCTTTCTCATGGCAGCCAGCACCCAGCTGCCTCCCAGCTGGCTGGGCAGTCATGTGATGCTGGAGAATGGCTTTGGTTTCCATCACCCCTGCTTGTTCTTATTAAAATGTCCTTTGTACTTCACTTCTCCATCTCCTTCCCTTTTCATCCTCTGATCTAAACCTCCACCTCTCACTTGCTCCTAGAGGCGCCAGCATACCCTCAAGCTTTCAGGCTTAGGGTTTGCTCCAGCTGTATTATCAATGATTCAAATGAAGTGGATGGCAGTCTCTCCACATTCAAGGGCACTCCACTGCTGGCCATGTTTTCTTTTAAAGCTCTATCCACCCCCCTCCTCACATGATGTGTCTTCTGTAAAAAATGCAGTTCTCGGGCCAGGCCTGGTTGCCTAGCGGTTAAGTTTGGTGCACTCTGCTTCAGCAGATCAGGTTCGGTTCCCAGGCATGGATCTGGACCTATACCACTTGTCTGTCAGTGGCCATGCTGTGGTGGTGGCTCACATACAAAAAGAGGAAGATTGGCAGCTGATGTTAGCTTAGGGAGAATCTTCCTCAATGACAACAACAAGAAAAAATAGTGCAATTCTCCCCAGCCCTTTGAAGAGGTACAAGGTATAAAGTCAGCAGTGGCCTGGCAGGGATGGGGATGTGCACAGGGGGACCACTGTGAAGTGCCAAAGAATTTGTGGACAAAGTCAGAAAAATGTCACCCCTAATTTAAAACAAATGTATCATGGCTGTGTTGGGCCAGCTGCAGAAATGACTCCCCATCCTGCAGAGAGCCAGCCTCCCTCCCTGGGGACAGGGATGAGAGCAACTTCACCAGTGTGTGGCTCGTGGCAACCCACTTCACCTCTGTGAGCCTCAGTCTGTGAAATGACAGATTTAGAGGAGTTGATCCATAACTCTATCACGGAAAACAAAACCCAGAAAAATGTCCTGCCCCAACTGAGTCCAGATAACGGTAAGGTTGGGCCATTTGCAAAGAGACATTTCATGTGGTCAGTCCCTTTTAACAAGGTGGCTTTTAGTCCTAGGACTTTGTGGACAGCTCCTGGCCTAGCCACTGTGGTGAGAGTACATGCACCCCGAGGCTGCCCGGCTGGCTTCCTGTAGTTGGTGTCCTTTGGGGATAAAAGGAGTCTCTGATTCAGTTCCAAACATTAGCCCGTAAGCTCTCAGTAGGCAAAAAGTTCTAGGGGCTGACCTGGGGCCCTGGCCCAGAGGTTCTTAGCAATTGCGGGTTTTAATTCAATGTCATTCTCATGGGGGAGGTGGAATCCTTACCAATGTTCTGTCCAGTCCTGGCTACTGTCTCCCAAACACACTCCTTCATTGCCTCACACTGACAACTCTGGTCAGTTCATGCTCGTGGTGGGCAGCTGCCAGCTTGGGTGGCCTAACTCCACTTTCTGGGAGCTGCACATTGCTCCCCTCCTCCAGCCACGCGGTCGCTGGAAGAGCTCCCTGCAGCCATGTTCTGCTTCACAAGCCTGTCCCTGTGGCCACTGCTGATGTGACCAGGCAGACTAAGCAGGGCCCAGAAGCAGATTCAGAAAGCCTGTTTCGGGGGTTTGTGTCAGTTTCACCTGGGAGATGTTGGTGGTCATCTGTCCCATCAACTAGAGAAAGAGGAGGTGCTGCTGCCATGCAAAGAGGGTCCAGGGGACATTTAATGCTGGTCCAGGGTTCACAAGGCCCAGCTGCACCCTTCCCTGAAATTCCGAGTCACCCCGGAATCCCTCATCCACTTTTGTTTTTTCCTAAGTCAGTGCTAGTTGGTACATTTCCTTTATTTGCAGCCAAAGGATTCCCCGCAAGGACAAGCTTCTGACCTCACCGAGAGGCCGTGGGAAAAAGCCCAGACAGCACAGAGCCCATGGGTGCAGGGATCTCAATCGCCGTACAGAAAACAAGCTGTGACCTAAGTAAGTCACGCTTGGCAGCTATAGGTGAGCGGCTCGCAGTCTGGGCTGGGGGGGCTCCTCCTTGACAGAGGGGAGGCATCCCCACATCCAGCCCCTCTCCCCACCAGGCTCTGTGGCCTGAAAAGGGTCTGTGCGCCCAAGGACCCTCTGGGGCTGGAACTCTGGCATTGCCCCCATAACATTGTTACAGCAACATTCACTAAAGCTTAGACCTTCCATGTAATGACATCAAACGGATCCCGAAAGCACAAACAAAGCCATTTCATACATTGGTCAGCACCCATGTTTAATTGTTGTGCCTTGGAAAGAAATACAGGCTCCACTGCCATGGGATGTTAACTCTTTTATTAATTTAGGGTTAACATTGTGGATTTCTTTTTCGGAGTTGTGGATTCCATAAACAACAGCTGGGTTCCCCCAGCTCCCAGGGGACAAGGCAAACGCATTATAGTCAAAGAGGGAGCAGGACAAAATGGAGAAGAACGAGCTTGGAAAAATTTAAGGCAAATGTTACTCCCATATTAGAGGGAATTGATCAAGCAGATCTGTGCATTTCAATGAAAATATATGAAATATTTGTCAAAATAATTAACATCGGTAAAAATTAGAACATGTAGCTTATAAAATGCCTACACAGGTTTGGCAGAAATAAATCCAACTGTGTCGCTAGGCTTGCAGTACACACAGACACAGGAACATCCACCTTAGGAACTAGTCTGACGAGCAGAGGCCGAACGGATTTTAAAAGCAACTTCAGGAACTGGGAAGTGACAGATGACCCACAATTCAGGGGTGCTTTACATTTTGGTAAGAGGAATCGCTTGGCCCTCAGGGCACCTTTGGCTGGCTCCTGGACGCCTCCTGGGGACCCTCACCAGAAGGCTCTGCATCAGGTAGAGGGGCCCATTCGGGCCATGGGATTCCTAGAGACACAGACAGACGGCGGTGACCAGGGGCGCTCGGCTCACTCAAGGAGAGCGCTGCAGAGAAGGCAGGCTCTTTCCATCCGGGTTTGGAATGTGACTTTCTAAGCTGTCGCTGCAGTTTCAGAAGTAGCTGACTATGTAGAAATAGATGCTCCATCCCCAGTGGTTGTACGTTTTATGACCCCAAATCTATTTTATTTACAGTCTGACCAAACCGTCCCCGAGACTGCTCTGTGGCAGGCGATGAGCAGGTGCGTGCTGGGCCCTTCATCATGGTGAGGACGGCCCAGGGTTCTGTGGGCCGGGCCCTAGGGTGAGATTTACTATGGAACTGCACAAAAGCATGGGCAGAAGAGTGATGTGTTATGCCAAGCATCTTGCCTTTCTGCTTTGGTCTTGAAGATTCAGTAAACTTATGGTTCCAGAAGCTGCTCCAAAGCTGGAGCTGTGGATTCCTGGAATTCATTTTGTTCCCGTTTTGAGTTTGCCAGAAGAATGTAGCCAGCAAGCAGAGTTTGAGAGGCTGTCAGTTTTAGGAACACCTCCTTAAGGCCCACCACCCACTCGGTCTGGGTGCCCAGAGATGCTGCAGAACGACTTTGCTCCTAGGGAGATAAAGCTGTCAGATGCAGGGCACCACCCCTGAAACAGGTTCTGGCCAACAGTCTGGAGAAAGGTGGATGGACGCGAGGGACCCTGCCTGCTGCGGGCAGCCAGGTGCCCCTACCCAGCCAGGAGGCACGTGCGGCAACAGAACTGAATGAAGAGCTTCCGTTCACAGAGCCGTTGGGACTTCACCATCTCGCAGAATGTCTCGTCAGCTGGGGCCCCACCGGGAAAGAGAAAAGAGGGACACATCAGACTGTGGGGTCTGTTACGATTGTTCTGATCATCCCACTTTGCTGGGCCGCGATGGCATGCAGGGCCGGGGGAACACAGAGGGAACGTGGGCGGCAGACAGGGCAGCCCTCACAGTCACCCCATCATGTGGTCAGCCTGGCATGGCAGAGGTGGCACTTGGCATGCAGGGACTTGAGCTGAATCTGGGAGACAAGGGGGAATCCAGGGGAGGGTTGGTGGGGAGTGGCAGGGTCTGGGAGAAGACACTGACTACACCAATGGAGGCCCTCCAGTGACCACCTCACTTTGTTGGGCTGGATACATAACCTGACTTCCTACAGAGGGAGCTTCCTGGCTTTTCAAGGGACACAATTCTGCAAACCAAAAAAAATAACGGAACACCAAGCAAGGAGGCCACTTGTGGTCTGTAGTGTGTGCCCAGGGCTCTCTGTGCAGGCTTTGTGCTCTGCCAGGCCAGCGCCAGTGCCAGCTCCGTGCCCAGGGACACCGTGGGGCTGGCAGCTCCCCCGCCTGCACGCCAGCCCACAGGGCCCAGAGCCCAGCTCACCTTCCCTGCCACACTGCACCTGCTAACGGCTCCTGCACCGGGTCTCCAGGCCAGAATCCCCTGCCAACCCTTCCTCTTGCCCGGAATCTCCAAATTGGAATCCCCAAATTGGTCTTTGGTCTCCTCTGAGTTCCTGTTTTCACAACCCGTCCCAGTTTCCCAATCAGCCTAGAGAACCAGGGCTCTCCCACAGCACAGATGCTCGACTGTGGGCTCTGTGAGGCTGAGACCCTACAGGCCTCCTGACTTTGACCTCCAAGATCGGGCCTGTCCTATAGGAAGTCACCAAACACAGGCCACCTGGGGCTTATGGCGTAAGAGTGCGAACAGTACAAGAACAAAATCACTTTTAAGAGTCACTCAACAAACTGACCACCAGTAGCTGGTTTGACTGCTGGGATGCCTCTCTGGTCAGTGTGAGAGGTCTAAAGGGAAGAAGGGAGGACTCGGGGAGCTCCAAGATGGTCAATCAAAGGAGGGGCCAGCACGCCTGTTCGGAGGGGCTGACATTCCTGCATTTTCTTTTCCTTTCTCTTTCGACCAGAGGCCAGAGGGCTGAGCTCCTACAAGCGCAGCCCCGAGGTAACTCAGGCGTCCGGTGACCCTGAGGTGCTCACCGTTGCTGCAGGTGTGGTTGGTGATGCACGAGGTCCCCAGCTGCGTGAAGCCCGCCTTGCACCTGCTGCAGTTCCTGCTGGAGCCTTCACAGCTCAAGCAGTTCTCGTCGCACCTATGGGGAGACACAGGTCCCTGCTGCTGTTTGGGGAAGAGTTCCAACCACTCCAGGCCTCCTTCCCGGAGCCCTCCTACCTTCCTGCACCACACCCCCAGCTGGAACTGTGCCCCCTACAGCGGCCTGGAACCCTGACCAAGTGTTTGCACGTCCTTCCTCCTGTCTGACTGCCCTAGTGCCTTGGGAGGGCAAAGACGGGCATGGCCAGTTGGTAGGAGCATGGCTGGAGCTGAGGGCAGGGCCAGGTCTCCGGGACTCCCGGTGGCTCACCTGGACGCCCTCCTGGGCACTGTGGCACCCACCCCACAGGTGGCTAGCGTCAGCACACACTCGGGGCTCAGGGCTGGGAGCTGGCCTGGGGACTGCTGCTATGCACCAGGCTGGCTTCCTTTGCCGTGAAATAGGCCTGTCCCCTGGGCATGGGGTGGCTGGGGCGGGGGGAGCCCTTCTACTCCTGTCCCAGAGATGGGACCCAGGGCTATTTCTAACACAGAGTACATGACCTCAGGGGAGGGGCCGCGCACTGCCCCCCTCAGGCCATGTGCAGCAGTTTTATTCAAACACAGTCACACTCCTTTATTTACGTGTCTTCTGCAGCTGCTTCTGTGGCAGGGGAGTTGCGTAGCTGCGACGGAGACTGTGTGGAAAGCGCAGGCCCACCTGTGCCTGTCGTGCTCTGGGCTGCTGTGGACCTGGCCCCACCTGCTGCCTTTTCCAAGTCCAGCTCTCAGTGAGTGGTCTCCACAGTGCTCCAGTCTGCTGCCCACCTTTCACATCGCTGCCAGCTTTGGGCAGAACAGGTCCCAGAGGCAGGGTTCTGACAGGGCGGGTGGGGTGGCCAGGAGCCTGGCGCAGCTGATGTCTGCGCCCGCCCTGTGTGGGCAGTTCTTTGCTTAGGACAGACGCCACCTGCCCAGTCAGAGACTAGATGACAACAAGGCTCACTGTAGGCCTCTTTCCAAAGCGGCCCTCCGCCGGGCTCCGAGTCCACCATGGATGCCGCCTGCACAGAGGCCCCAGGGCGCCAGGCCCTCAGCCTGGAGGAGGGGCGGATTTTGTTCTCCTAGTGTAGCTGAGGATGCTCCCAAACTGGACTTCAGATCCGTGGTTTATATTTATAAATGTGTAAATCCTGCAGCACACTGCATCCAGGAGCTCTCTGACTTCCTCCTCCTGTGGCAAGAGACTGGCCCCCCCGCCCTCCAGACACCCCAGAGGGGAGGACGGGGCCTGCCGAGCGGAACCCTGCTCCTGTGCACTTTGAGGAAGCTCCTGAGGTCTGGTCCTTGACCCGCTGCACCTTCTGGTGGCCTGGCCACAGGCCCCTCACGCCACAGCACAGGGGACGACTTCCCCTGGGATCACCCCCCAGCCCCCGCCCACCCCTTTACAGACGATGTCCACCAGTGAGACGGGAGCTCGGGATAAGCCGAGCCACTTAATGGGATGGTCAGTTGTCACAGGCTGAAGGTTGCCACAACTATAAACAGTGAGTGGAGTAGGCTACGGTGAAGAATCAGCTGGACGCAGCTGACTTTCTTCTCCAAAGACAACCCCATGCCTGCCGGCTGGAACCGCAGGGGTGTCGGTTTCCTAGTGCTGTGTAACAAATTCCACACACGCAGCAGCTTGACCCAGCACCAGTCAGCATCTCCCGTTCTGCAGGCAGAAGTCTGGGCCGGCTCAGTGTACTCTCTGCCCAGGGTTTCTCAAGGCCCAGGTCAAGGTGTTGCTCAGATCCCAGGTTCAGGGGAAGAATCCAGCATCGTGCTGCTCCCAGGAATGGGTGATGTCCCCAGCCGACCCCCAGTGGCCTCAAGGCCATGGCTTCTCTGAGAGGCCCTCTTGGCTCCTTTCCATCAGGGTTACTGTGCCCGGTTGGTGGTCCTCTTGGGTAGGGGCTTTCAAGACACCTCTGGTTCTACTACTTTCTGTGGTACTTACTCCACCCCCAAACACCGTGGCAAGTTTGCCCTGCCAAACTCTGGAAGGGCAGGCGTGCCCACTGCAGCCCTCCTTCCTTGCTGCATCGCAGGGGCCATTTCCACCAGCCTTTGGTCTTTAGGCTGTACCAGGTGAAAGTCAGACGACAGAAGTCGCGTCCCGCTTCAGTCTGGGCACAGAATACAGCAGAAGGCGTGCCTGTGAGTCTCTGCCCGCACCAAGGCCCTGGAGGGGCCTAGGGCGTGGATGAGGGGGAGAGCTGAGGGTGTGAGGCATTAGCAAGTACCTGGCCGAGTGGCTCTCTGTCTTCCAAGAGGTCCTGGCTCACTTTTCCAGGCGCTCTTAGGAAGTCTTGGAGGCGTCCGGCACCTCTTCTGAGATACTTATCCCGGACTGCTCTCAGCTTCTGGCCTCAGCTTCACGGGTGGTCTTAGCACTCTGGATGCCGACAAGCAGGCCTGTATCCTGGCCTGGCTTTTCCACATGAGCCCCAACTGGCTGCTTGCTCCCTCGGAGTTGCCCCGGGCCGGTCGGCAGCCGACAGCCATGGCACCCCTCAGCTTCCTGGGGCCTGGAGGAAGCCAAGCTCTCTAACAGCTGCTGCTTCCTGAGTGGGGAAAGGCCCTGCAGAACTAAGGGGACCAAGGCCATTGTTCCTTGGGGAGGAATTCACGCCGGAGGGTTCTTTAGAGCCAGGGTACCCTATGGACAGAAGCTCTCTGAGGTGCTGCCATGCCGCCCCCTCGGCCCCCTGTAGAGGGCTCTTCCTGGGGGTGCATCTCCAAGGCCTGGTGTGTCAGCCCCAGCACTGGACTCCCCTCTGGGGCTGAAGGCTTCCTCACCCATGGAAGGGAGCACCCCAGAAGCTCCTGTCCTCTGCTGCCCAAGGAGGGACTTGTGGGGGCTGCCTACCTCCTGCCTCCTGGGGCTGGGGACGCCAGAGTTTCTGGGTGCCCCATGGTGGGCTGGTTGCCAAACTTGTGGTAACACCCAGCATCCTCTGGGATCTGGGCATCTGACAAGTAAAAGTGATTATCACTGTTCAGTTCCACGTTGTCCCGGGGCTGCTGCGTTTAGTGTAATTAACTACCCTTGAACCAGCGGGCTGGTTAAAATGAAAGGTTTACTTTGGACATCCGTGCCGAGGGTCCTGTATGGACTCAGCAAGCCTGGGTGAAGGTGGCAAGGTTCCTATTTCAAACCAGCCCAACAGAGGGGCTGACTCCTCTCAGATACATAACCCTCTCTGGACCCTCTTTTTGTGGGTCACACAAGTGCAAGGACTAGGTGGCCTCTCATTGGCTCACTGCAGGGTTATTGGTGTCTTTGTTTTAAGAGAATAGGTTGCAACCCAGAGCAGTTCTCAAACACAGCCTGGGGAGGCAACCCCAATGTGGGTCTCCAGCTGTGAGCTGGAAGATGGGGCACGGTCTCCCTACCCCTGCTCTGACATGGGCCTCCGGGGCTCCCTTGCTTTGAGTCTATTTCAGAAGGAAGGTCCCTTCCCCACCCCCAACATCACTATTATCAAGGTCACCTTCAAACTCCTCATTGTTGCTCTCACCCTGAACGAGGCAGCTGCCTGCCCTGTTCCTGGGATCCAGGTTATGAAGTCCTGATGTAGGGTGATAATCAGCAAGACAAGAAGACACCCAAGCAAACAGCTTCTTCTTTCACTTCCCATGTCCAGGGACAAAAGGGAACACTACAGGGTCGGGAGCCACCTAACCAGGATGGTGCACTGTGTGACACACAGGAGGGAGTGCAAAAGGAGAATGAGAGGGGATACAGTATATGCTCATTGACCGGATAGGAAATGGCTTTAGAATGAGGAAATTGTCAGAATCTTTTGTTTTCTCTAGATTATGTAACTAAAAAAAAATCTAACACATGGTTTCCTTAATTACCAACAGTGTGAGTGCATTCTGAGCTGTGGCACGCTGGGAGCTCCTGTGGAGTCTGCTACCGGGTGTGAGCACCTTGTTTTTCTGCTTCCTGCCCTCTCCCAGCTACACAGTGCCTGGCACATAGTAGGTGCTCAATAAATACTCATCAAAGGAACAAAGGAATGAAAGCAGCCAACTAACTCGTGACCTTGGCAATCACTAACTGCAGGGGTCCCCTCCTCTGTAGTGAGCTCCTGTCTGGCTACCGCACTGCTGCAGTGGTGCATGCTGCGCACCTGCCCCCAGTTCCCGGGAAGGGGCCGCCAGACTTGGCCCTCCTGCCGCTCCTGCTCCTTCACTGGCACAGCTGACCGCTCTTCCCAACAGTCTTGGTTTGAGCCAGGAAGTCTGCCTGGAAGGGGCGCGTACCTTCGGCACACCTTGTGGGGCAAGCCCGGCATCTCCTCCGGGTAGAAGCCCTCGCCACAGGCTGGCACGCATCTCCAGTCTTGGAAGTGGAAGTTTGCTGCACAGTGAACACATTCTTCTCTGCTGGGCCCTGAGGGGTGCGGGAAAAGAAGCAGATGTCAGGGACCGCCTGCCCACCGTGTGTCCCAGGCCTGCTGCAGTGCCCTGTGAGATCTGGGTCCTGTTCAGATGCCCCAAGGTCACCACCACAGCTGGATTTCCCAGGTGCCCACATACATCTGCACTGGGCCCTCCTTGTCCTGCCTGGGAGGCGGCCATCACATCCCCATTTCACAGATGGGGACATGGAGGCCTGAGCCAGGCTCACCACACCTCCCTATTGCCTGTGCCACCTTTGTTGGTCCTGATTCCAAATGCTTCCTTTCCCAATGAGCCTAAAACCTCCTTCTGCTACAGCCGGCCACCTGTGGCTTTGGGCACCTGAAATGTGGCTGGACCAAACTGAGATGTGCTGTAAGCATAAAATACACACACACCGGATTTCAAAGCCTTAGCTTAAAAAAAAATATATAAAATAGTCATTGTTTTGATATTGACTACACGCTGAAGCAATAGTATTTAGACACATGGGCTTAACAGGATACGTTATAGTTATTTTCACCTGTTTCTCTAGGAAATTTAAAGTTGTATCGGGGCCCACATTTGTGGCTTGCATCGTACTTCTATTGGACAGAACACCGTAAGGTGATGTGGGAAAAGGGAAGGAAGAGATTTTGGGGGATGTTGACAGTATTCAGTGTAGATGACCAGAGCAGATTCAACAACAGGAAAAATGACAAAAACGACTAAGGGCTTATGTGGCAGGGAGTGGGGACCAGGAGAGACAAAAGCTCTGAACGAAGGATCGAGAGTCATGATGGAAACCCTGCAGCTAAGCCAAGAGGACTCATCAACCTGGGGCAGACACTGGTCTAATGAAGAAACCATGCCATCCCTCCGTTCGTCTGTCCATCTGTTCATTCATTCATTCCAATAAGAAGTAAGTGCTGGGCGTCCACTCTGTGCCAAATGTCCCCGAGGAGCACCTGATGGGACGTCACAGAGAGGCAGTGAGGTGGCCACTGGCTGATGGCTTAGAGTGTTGAAAACAGGGCAGAATCGTCTCAGGTGCTCTCTGGTGAGCACAGCCCTAGTTAAACTTCTTCCCCACTTTAATCTGATTGTGGTCTTAGATGGAAGCCTGACAGTTAAGGCGACATATCTGGCTGTCTTCCTGGAGTAACTTCTGGACTAAGACAGGCCTCTTGGCTGTGTCAAAGGAAGACTCCTTTGCAGACTGGGGCCTGCAGGGTGGTTCTGCCAGCACAAGCCCCAGTGCTTCTGGTGGCTGGTTTTATCTCTCAGAACCACAGCTTTAAGCCTGGAAGGGATTGTGTGTGTGAGGCAGAAGCAAGAGCCCTTTGGGGTGACAGGGCCGTAATGGACAGCTGCCCACTCTCTCAGAGCCTCCATGTGGGGTGTCCTCCCTCTCTTGCTGCAGATGCCCCACAAATGTATAGGGATTCTGTTTGGTTTATGTCATTCTAGATGGAAGACTGCTCTTGTGCTTTGGCCACCCCTCCATCACATCTCCAAGGAGCGTCTGGCTTCAGAAGCCCTGGGTCTCAGGAGCTGTGTGGTTCCCACAGCTGTCCCAGTCGTTGGGCCTCCCCTATTGAACCCGGTTACCCACGTTGTCCTGCCTCAGCCACTAGGATCCTTAATGCCTGAGGAGCTTCTGTGGTGGGAAAGAATACTCCTTCTCATTTGTACTTGGTTTAATGCTTAATGCACTAAACTTTGAAGCTGATGAAATACGTTCAACTGGGCAAGATGAAAAAGTTCTGGAGATGGATGGTGGGGATGGCCGCACAACAATGTGAGTGTACTTAATGCCACTGAAGTGTACACTTAAAAATGGTTAAGATGGTAAATTTTATGTTATGGGTATTTTACCACAAGAAAAAAAAGCCTGATTAAACACAAATTTTCAGGACAAACTATTTTCACAATTACTCAAAATTATGAACTTTATAACTCAAAGTCTCTCAGGGATTTCGTTGAGTCACAAGCCTTTACAGGCTTCAGACACTTGAAAAGCTCCCAGAGATCATAATAATAATACCGAAATGGGTTGTGCTTTGACAGGACCCACAACATCATTTGTGGGGCCCAATGCAAAGTGCAAATGAGGTGCCCTTGTTCAAAAACCAGGAAAAATGTGCCATTAAGGGTACTAAGATATAAAATGCTTTCCTTTCTTCTTCAATGTCTAATCCCACGGGTCCCCTGTACCAACCCACAGTAGACCAGCAACCCCAAGGAATCACATCCTCTGTGCCAGGACGTGCTGGGTACCTGGATTGGGTATGGGCACGAGGCTTGTCCCCATTGAGTCACCGCCACACGCCCTGGGGCACTGCTGCCAGGCATGGGGATGTATGCCACCATGCCCAGCCCTGCATGCGGGCCTAACCCCGACACTCCCCAGGAACATGCCCAGGCTCCCGCACCAGTGCAGAGTTGGCAGCAGTGGTTTCTGAGTGGAAGCAGGGAGGGGAAGGCCAGGCGGGCCTGGGCCTCCAGGGGGATGGGAAGTTGGCAGCCAAGTACAGCTGCTTCCAACACAGACTCACACCTGACACGGAGCAAGAAGTCTCGGTGACTCAGAGCAGGGCAGTGAGGTCCTTCTCCCCAGCAGCAGCCAGTGGTGGATGCATGCACCCCAGGAGCTTAGAAACAACCCAGGCAGGTGGGCATGGGGAGGAGGGGAGGCCCCCAGACAGCCTTAGACCTGCCCGGCGCTGAATTAATTCCCTGAAGTGACGGAGAAGTCACTGGGTTGGGATGAGAGAACCTACAAGCGAATCTATAAAGCTGTTTGCCAACAGGCAGTCTGGGGACATGTAGAAAAGAGAAGTAAATTGAATTATTGAAATCAAAAGCGTTATAAAGCCACACACCTCTAGGGATTCAAGTGACTATGAAATTTAACTAAGTGACATCAGTCATGCTCCTTAATCAACCTGGGCTAAACAAGTCAAAGAAACCAAGAATAAAAATGATAGACAAAAAGGCAACAGAGCAAACTGCTGGGAAAAGCTGCTGAGCTACCAGCGGCTGAGAATGCTTCCAGTCGCTGAGCCCCTGCTCTTTTGGGGGTGGTGCCAGGAGGGTGTCCCAGGAAGGCCCAGCTCCCCCAGCCTTTGAGAACAGGCCCTGGCCAGAGCCCTGCTTTCTCTGGCATGTCCACTCCTGGAAAGCATGGCTGATACTCACATGGGGTCCATGAGGACACACTGGGAGGGCTGTGCCATATAACGGTAACTGTGACCGAGGAGAGACTAACTCTTAAATGATCAGTGCAGCAAAAACTCAATCTCAGGTGAGTTTCATAGAACAAGGACCAGAGCGCCGGGTCAGGAAGGAGGGCCAAGAGAAGATTTAGCCCGAAGTGTGTCTGAGCCCACAAACTCATCATGTGCTTCAACATTCTAGTGCAAATAACTGCAACGGGAAACCCAATAAAACAAATGCATTCTCTGCTCTTCTGCATAAAACGGTACCTGGAAGACATCTGTGTTATAATCTTTGTGGGGAATTACCATACACATAAAATCGTCTATAGAAGTTTTTCCTCTTTGAATAAAATGTTCAACAGAAGCGAGGAGAGGTACAAAAGGACTAAGGCTATGTTTAAAAGGCCTCCTCCTTCCCTTTGCCCCGGAATCGGCCCCACCTCTCCGAATCTTTATAGCATTGCATCTTAGGCAGCGCCTCTGCAGCAGGGTTGGGCTTCCAGGCAAGCCAGCTCACGAGCAGCGAGCAGCGAGCAGCGAGCACCTGCGCTCAGCCTGAGAGTAGCCACTGCCGGGCCAGGCTTCTAACGCCAGGAAATCCAGGCTGCTCATTCAGAGTGGGCCCGTGTGGCTTTTCTTTAATTTTAAAAATGGTGGTAAAAGGTACATAAAATTTACCATATTAACCATTTAAGAATATAGTTCAGTGGCATTAAGTACTTCACATTGTTGTGCAACCATCACCACTATCTACCCATCCCCAGAACTTTTTCATCTTCCCAAACTGAAACTCTGTACTTATTAAACACTAATTGCCCATTGCCCCGCCCCGCAGCCCCTGTAGGGCCTCTGTGATTTAATGCTGCAATTCCACGGAAGTCCATGAAGTCCTAGGGCTTTCGGGGTTTCAAGAGAGTTCGCCTACCCACCTGAGTAACTAGGTTCCGACATCTGGCATAATGAAACGGATGCCTCTGCAGGCGGAGAACTCACCCACACAGGTTTGGCAGGTGTGATGGCATTCCCCACATCTGACCAGCTCGGAGTCAAAGTAGGTGCCCGGTTCACAGTCTGGAATGCAGCTGCCCCGTGCAAGGCTGTTGGAAAGGAAAATAAGGCAGGTTTTCATGTCTCTTCCAAAATTTTAATGAAATTATGATTTGCCCTCAAATGCCTTTCATGAGAGGAAATGTAAGTTGCCAAAACACAGCTCTCTGTGTCACTTAAGGTTCTGAGCTAATGAAAGCAGGAAAAGCTGTCCTGAAGCCAGCTGGAGGCCTGGTTGGAAAGGATACCCAGGGCCTGGAAGCAGAGCCTCCATCTTCTGGCAGCCGGTGGCCCTGGGCTCCCTCCCCAAAGCCCTGTGGCCTGGGTCCTGGTGTGAGAGGCCAAGTCCTCATGTTCTCTCCTGGTCTGTGATGGCTCCTCTTCTCTGATGGTAATCAAAATTGAACCCAAACCCCAAGAGGAGAACTTGAGCGTGTGTAGGTTACCTCTGGTGGCACACCGGCATTTGTGAGGTCTGAGGGCAGAGGCGGAAGCAAGACTGGTCCTGAAATTCCAGGATCTGCTCCAGCCTCTCCCTTGCTTGAAACCTTCCATACTTCAAGATGAACTTAAAAAATATAAGCTACTCCTGGGACCCAGCGGGCCCTGCCTGATGTGGCTCCCGCCTTCCCCTCTCATCTCATTGAGGACTGCCCTCAGCTTGCTCAGTGAGGCGGCTGAGTGCATGGATTCTGGAGTGGACTCTGGAGCTGGACCACCCTCTCTGGGATCCTGCCTCTGCCACTTCCTAGCTGTGCAAGCCTGACCCTAGGCAAGCCAGCTAACCTCTCTGCACCTTTGTCTCCTCTCCTGTTTACTGGGACAATCATGGCTCCTGAGTCACAAGGCTGCTTTGAGGACCAAATGAGCAAATACTTGTAAAACATTAGAATGGTGTCTGGCATACAGCAGTGTGAATAAATGCCAGCTACCATCATTTCTTCAGTTCCCAAGGTTACGCTGTGTTTGATGCACACGTTGTAAATGGGTCTGCCACCAGACATATTGAACGAGTGCTCTGGGGTGTTTGTGAGATCCAGAGAATCCTGCATTTAGGGGTGAGACATCGGTGGGTCCAAAAGTCTCTCCGCACTGACGGTGGATACCCACCTGGGCTTCTCCTCATCATGGCACCAGGGTGCTGCGACCGGCAGTTACATCAAGTCTAAGAACTGACGGTCCCCGGCGAACCCTCCCTGCATTTATCCCCCTAAAGAGACGGATGGCCAGGAGACAGCGGCTCGGCTGCTCTCACCGCTTTAACGTGACAGAGATGATTTGAAGCCACAGCTTAAGAGGATATTAGGCAATAAAATGAAGCTTTCTGTGGATTATGGCTGACGATGTTTTCAGAGTTTGTGTGCCTCTCTAAACCCTTGTCATGGCTGGAACCGCTGCCTCCATTTGTGTGGCTACTGCTCGAGAGGCATTTTCTCCTCATGACATCGTTCCTGACCTGAGCATCTGATTTCCTCTCACCCACAGGACTCACAGGACCCACAGGATGCAGAAACAAGCTCTCTGTGACGCCTCCAGCACATCCTCACTGAGAAACAGGTTCTGGTACTGTGGAGACTTCCCTGTGACACCTTCAGTTACCAGCCTGGGGGCAAGGAGCCTTGGTGGGAGGTGCCATCACAGCCACCTCCCCCGTGCCCCCAGCCACAGTGGCCGGCTGAATGCCCTCGACTTTCTCCCTTGCTCTTTTCCTTTTTGGGGATCTCCTTCCTCGACCACTTCATCCTTTCACTTCTAATCCTGCTTTGTCCAGCTACCAGGTTTAAATGACAATAGGTATAATGCGTGACTTTGGGGGTCCTGGTCCCATTTCCCTCCCCAGAATCCCAGGTGCTTGGATGGTGAGCTCTCTCTCCTCCTGATTCTTCTTCTCCCTGATCTGGAAGAGAGGGGCAGGTTAAGGGCAACTCCAATAAGGCATCAATATCGTGCTTCCTGGGGAAACTGTTTCTCTCCCCTGTTAGTAAAACGTGAGTGATGACGACAATAATATCTATGTCATTGGTCGCTGTGAAGATTAAATGAAGCAGTACTGGTGAGAGCATCAGGAATAAGAGTGCTCATTAAGTTTTCTTCCTTCACTCTTTACTCCAAAAGAATTCAGCCGTCCTGGTGAATTCCAGTCCCGGCAGCATTTGGGTGGAAGGGAAGCTGGGGTGGGGGAGATGGGTGCAGGCCTCTAACGTCTCACTATGCAAAGGCTGCTCTTGCCAGGACCAGCAGCATCCTTGCCACCTGGGGGCCTGTTAGATACAGAGTCACAGAGCTGCTGGACCAGTACCTGCATTCTAACAAGAGCCCTGGTGATTCCTGTGCACACTGTGGGACGAGAACACTGCTCTTGCCGACCTTTCCTTTTCTTCCTTAAAATGCAGACCCTAGGCTAGTCCCTGCACTAGACTAGGAGACAATGCTGAGCCTGGTGGAAGAGGGAAAACCAGGAATCTGAAGAGCATCCCCAGGGAGTAAGCTTCTCCACCCAGAAGGAGATACCAGAGCCGGGAGGAAAGAGAGAGAAGAGCAGGAGGATGGGCTACCCAGTGGCCCTCCCTTGCCCAGCCTGGGAGGGAAACTGGAGTAGGTGGGGTTACTGGTGCCTAAAAAAGGGAGCTAATGCACCTGGGAGAGCTCCTCACCCTTCCAGCGGCCAGCCCTACTTTACACGACAGACCCACTCTTGCTTTCACCAATTCTCCAGGTGCTGCATAAGATGTAGAGATTTTAACCATCCTCTAACTTTCTATCTTCAACACCAGCTACTAAGTGGAAATCTGATTTTGAAAGACTTGGAAACTTTACATTGAAAGGCTTTGGGCCTCTGAAATGTTACCTTTTAAGAAAAAGTTGCAAAAACTTGGTAAATCAATGAAAGAAGCTAAAAACAGCACCAACACTTTGCCATTCTTCAGGTTTGAAAACAGGGTCTCACCTGAATCCCTCTTTACAGACGGTACATTTCTCTGGTTCATCAATGCACTTTTTACAGCTTGGGTGGCATTTAAGGCAATTTTTCTGACCTGGATAAAAATAAGGTGAGGAAAAGTAAAGGGGAAGAATGGATGTGAATCAAATCTGGGCAATCAAGACTCTGACATTTCAAAGCAGGGTTGATAGAGCGGTGCCCCATGTCAGTCTCCTGAATGAATGATGTCATCAGAAAACAGCCAGAGGCCACGTTGAGACCACGTGCCCAGGTGTCGGATCATAGGTCACAGGTCCCTCGCCTCTCTCTTCTGGAGGAAAGTCCTCTAACAACGCGAGGCCTGGGGGCGGGCCCTCTCCAGGGGAGACACGCTGTGGTTCTGCTTACTGCCACAGGGACCAAGGCTAGTTCTCAGGCACAAGCCTCATAAACACGACAGGAAGCACCCCCCGTAGGGCCTTCATAGGGGTTCTTATTGAAGACTTGGAAGTTACATACACTGAGACACCCATGGTACCTCCTGGGGAAATTCTGGGTCACTGCAACTCCCACCTTCATTTGCATGAGTTATCAGCTAGGTCATTCCTTCTGGCACCTCAGCAACACCACCTTGCATTTGGGCTGGGAGCTAAGGGCTGCTTGCTACACCTCTGTGCCTCCTCCCCAGGGCCCCACAGGTGGCGTTACACACATGTAGCAGATGCTCAGCGAGGATGTGTTGGGCCAGTGAGGGTGGCTGATTCTCCCAGGAGCGGGGTGGGATGGAGGAGTCTCCACCCTGAAATCAGGTCTGGGTGGCAGCCCAGGCAGGCGTTGGCAAAGGCTGTGAAATGTGTCTTGCATGACTGTTTGTCTCTCCTCTAAAGAGAGTCTGGTTATCACCAACAGAGGATTGGATAAAGAAGATATGGTATATATATACAATGGAATACTACTCAGCTGTAAAAAGGAATAAAATCGTCCCATTTGCAACAACATGGATGGACCTTGAGGGAATTATGTTAAGTGAAATAAGCCAGATAGAGAAGGACAATCTCTGTATGACTCCACTCATATGAGGAACTTAAAAATGTAGACAAAGAGAACAGATTAGTGGCTACCAGGGGAAAGGGGGGCTGGGGGATGGACACAAAGGGTGAAGGGGTGCACCTACAACATGACTGACAAACAATAATGTACAACTGAAATTTCACAAAATTGTAACCTATCATCAACTCAATAAAAATTAAATTAAAAAAAATAAAAAAGAGGGGCCGGCCGAGTGGTTAAGTTTGCCCACTCCACTTTGGCGGCCCAGGGTTTCGCCAGTTCGAATCCTGGGGGCAGACATGGCACCGCTCATCAGGCCATGCTGAGGCGGCATCCCACATGCCACAACTAGAAGGACCCACAACTAAAAATACACAGCTATGTACTGGGGGGCTTTGGGAGAAAAAGGAAAAATAAAATCTTAAAAAAAAAAAAAAAGAGAGAGATTCTGGTTATTTGATGGCTTTATATGTCTTTAAAGCTTTCCTGGCTCCTTCTCCACAGGAGTGACAGCCCGGATCAATGATCCCTCCTTCACAGCGAGGCCCGGAGAGCAGCTCTGCGGGAAGCCCTGCCACCTGCACGACTGTCAATATCAAAACAGTGGCTTCTTTCAACTTCTTTGAGAACTATCCTCCATTGATTTAACCCAAACCCTTTTTTGCCTCTTCTGAGGTGAGGTGAATTGGTGAGATACTGGCATGGGATCCTGGGCCCCAGGGCCCCTGCCCAGCCAGCCACTTTCCTGGGATTTGTTGGGATGCCTGGCTTTGCCGCTCTGATCTCAAGTCCCACCTGTGCCATTACTAGCTGGGTACCTTCTGCCCTCTCTCAGCTTTGTTTCCCCATCTGTAGGACAAGGAAAGCTTCACCCGCCTCTCAGGGTGTGGTGACTATCTGTAAAGTGTGCCACAAAGACTAACCTGTCTCTTCTGAGCCCGATTAACACTGGCCAGCAGGCTCCTCTTCATTTATGGAGGACTGCGAACCTTCTGCCCACGCTTAAGTCCTAGTTTCAGCTCAGCAGATCTCCCTAGGAGGAGTTTTCACCCAGTTTTGACCAACAAGTCCATAAGCTGGTGGCGGATCCCCTGACCCCTGACCCAGTGCACATGCCCAGTGCGACAGAGAAGCCTATGGTGCAGTCTCTCCTGGAGGAGAAATTGCAGGACAGACAGCAGGTCATCCTCGCCTTCCTCTTTTGATATCTGAAATCATACTGAGCCCGAGAGCAGCTGGCCCAAGCCACCTCTCTGCCCATCCTTGATAATGCACATTGACTTGCAGACACATGAAATTCTTCCAGTCACTCTGGAGGATTCCAGCATCACTTTGACTGTTCTGGCTGGTTGTATGTGAATGGATACTAACCACAGGGTCTGAGCGCTTTAATCTCACCATCTCTCCCTCCCTCCCCTGTTGAGGGTCCTTTCTCAGAAGGATACAGTACATAGGAAGCAACGGCTTCGAAAATTCTCCCAAGAGAGGGACCCCAGCCTAGAAAGGGGGCCTGACTCATCATTTCCATGCCCGTGGACATGTACTTACTTTCATCAGCGTAAAATCCCGCAGGACAGAGGGTCACACAGCTGTTGATCTCCTGATGGTGATAGAACCCACGGCGGCAAGACAGGCACTGGGTTGGGCTCCTGCCGGAGCAGGTCTCACATCCCTTGTGGCACCTACGACAGCGTCTTGCTGCTGTGTCCCCGAAGTAGCCCAGTGGGCATGCACTCACACACTTCCTGTGGGAGCCAGAGCAGGAGAGGGCCTTTCCAACTCAGCCCTGGCCCCGCCTCGCCCCCCACAGCACTGCTGGGTCAGGCTGAGGCAGGGGGCTGGTTGGGAAGGAAACCTTAGCTGCCCTCCCACAAAGGCCCCAAGATGAAGGTTAAACCTAGTGCCCACTGTCTTGGTGAGCACAGTGAGAAGTTCCTAATACAGGGAGAGGGTTGAGGATTGCGTAAGAAGGGGAATCTCTTCCTTTCAAAGGGGCCCCAGGGGAGGCACTCTGAGGCTGTGTTTGGCTTCCATGGGCACCATGATGATGAAGGTATTTGACTTCTGGAACTTTCAGCTCCCACAAAACCCCACCGCTGCTGCCCTTCGGGAGCGAGTCTCCTGGGCAGTGAGTACAGTCAGCAGGACAACTGCCTTTGTGTAGTGCAGGGTGAGTACGCCTGTGGCTGGGACCTCCAGGATACCAGGAAAGTCACGCCTGCACCCCTGCTCCCCACGCACGGCCACACCCCTGTGTGGGCCCTGGTGGGTGTGTGCTCCCCATGCACGGCTGACAGGGCTGACTTTTGGAACACTACTGGCCCCTAAAATGACATTTGTCTACAGTTCCCAAGTGGTCAGTCTTGGCATGCTCAATATGACCCATTTTTGTTTAACAAAACAGATAGAAAAGGGTTTGTAAGCACAGACACCACAATGCCACGGCTTCTGATTTCTCTGTCATGGACACATATGACTGTGTGATGAAAACAAAAACTAGGAAAACACACAGAATTCCAGAGCAGTGAAGCTGTACAGGATCTCCTTTGGAATGTTACATTAAATTCTAAGTAGGGCACCAGGCCGTGGGGGGGTCTAAGAGCACAGCTTGAAACTGGCCACCTTAGTGGTACCCTGAGGGGCTCCAGGACATGCAGATGGAAGCCACAGCCCGTTACCTGCTGGTCTTGACGTTCCCCAGGCTGAAGTGGACACAGTTCAAGCACTGGTCTGCGTTGGGGCCGTCACAGCCTTTGTCTCCACACTCCGGATGGCACACACCTTAAAGAAACAAGCATTTCCTTTCCATAGAGATGCTTTTTCCATCAAATCCAGTCCCCTAGGACCCTCTGTCAGGGCACGGCAGCCTGGCAGGGTCAGGAGAAGCTTCCCTAGAGAGAGGTGGGCTGGAGAGGTGGGCTCCAGGCTCCAGTGTCAGAGGGTCTGATGACTCTAGGCAGGGACGGGCTGAGAAGAAGGAAACAGCCAGGGTGGGGACCAAGATGGGGGAAGAGGTGGGTACCGTGGGATACTAGAAGAGAGGCTGTGACAGGCAGGAGAGGCGGAGAACGGCCTTATGCAGTGTATTCCCCTGCATCAGAGTCGTGATGCTGAGACTGGCCAGCTCTTTCAATTCCCCTTGTGAAGGACAAAGCAACACAAGATGGGGCGTTGGGCCATAAGGAAACTGCTGGGAAGCAGTGGTGATCCCATGGGAATTAAGCAGCAAAGGCAGGAAGAGGATTCCTGACATGCAGTGGTGGGAGCAGGATGGATTTCCATTTGCTCTGGACCATGGGGCCCTGTCAGTGGATCTCTTTCTTGGCTTCTCTGGCTCTTGCCCTAAGTGGTAGCCACGGCTGTCTTCCCTCAGGTCCCCTACAATCCCCCAATTCTAACTCTGGGGCCTGTGTGTTGTTTGAAAAGCGATGGAGAGAAATGCAGGGAGCTCAGTGCATGCCAGCAAACCTCACCTTCTAGGTCCTTCCCTCTAGATGCACCAGGGAAGGGCCCAGCATGAGCCATCTATCACCCTCAGGCCGGGGCGGGGGCATGTCCACAGGTGTCCTCTCCACCCATGACCACACGTGCCAAAGCCAGCGCCTGCCTCACCCCCGACCCCGTCCTTCCCAGTCTGGGAAATGGCTCCGGAAAACCTCCCCGTGCCAGGAGGGGCCCGGTGGGGCATTATGAAAGTTTCTGGGTCTTTGGAAGAAATAAAAACCTTCTACAAGGTTTTGGTTGTTGGAGGGGGTGGGGAATGCATTCAGAAGCAAAAAGGAGGTGATTTGCTGGCCACCAGCATTTCACAGGGACGCGAGGGAAAGACAAAAGTCCCCATTCTCTGATGCCCACAATGGGTCTTTGCTGAGGTGCACAAAGACCCCTTCATCGCCTTTAAAGGGCCTCCAGACCTTCCCAGTGTTAGGCCCTGTTTATTTTGCTTCCCTCCCTGAAGGTTTACGCTGTTGATACTTCCAAAGTTTTCATTGTGAGTTCCACTGTGAACCCCTTTCAAAGCCCTGTTCGTCCAGGGGGCACGCTAGACTGCATCTCTGGTCCGGGGCGGGGAGGGAGCTGGAACGCCACAGAGATCATGTTCTAGTATGAGGCTGGCCACGCCCAAAGCTCATCACCCAGCCAAACTTCACCCCCCACCCCTTCCCCAGCTCCCGCCTGTTTTGCTATTTTGGAGTCAATTCTCATTTGCTTGGATTCTTACCCCACCTCATCCCAGACATCCTCTCTTCCCTGTGCCTCCCCTTATGGGGAGGGCCTCAGACATCCTCGCTTCCCTGCGCCATGGCTTTTAATTACCCACTTAATTACCCATTGCACTGAAAGCACAGGAGCCTTCCCACCAGCCTGGACTGCAGAGGCCTCCCCAACACACGGACTTAAGGGCCACCCCCTTCTCCCGCAGGGATTTCTCCTCAAGGCCAAGGGAAGCCGTAAGTCTGTCCCGCTTGATAAAGTGAACAATCTTCTCAGTCTTTAGGAGGTCTGAGGGGAGACGGAGGAGACACAGCAAATTCCTCTCTTCCGGCACGGGAGATGGAACCTCCACCTGAGCAGGATTCGGTCTACAGTATTCGCTGCTAAATTCCCAGCACCTAGAAAGGCGTTTGGCACAGGGCAGGGGCCCAATAAATATTTACTGAGTGGCTGATGGGTGAGAGAATGGATGAAAGGAGAGTGGGTGGAAACGGGGAAAGTGCAGGTGTCCTCACTATCTTCAAACAGAATGTTCTAGCATGTCCCAGGACTGGGATAGCCTTGGGGAAGGGCCTGGAGCAGTTGCTCCTGATGCTGGTATGCAGTGTGTGGACTTCACCCCGAGCCCCTCCCGTGCGCCTCTTTCCTGGGGCCTCTCTGTGGTAGAGAGGGTAGTCAGTAACCCTTAGGGGAGCCGCGTGCAAGGCTGGGGTCCACCCAACAGCAAGCGCAGCAGAACACCCACAGGGCATCTTGGTAACCGGCTGCGTCCAGCTCCAGGTGGAGAGCTCAGTGAGATACTACCCCTGTAAAGATGCTTAGATAAACACCTGTAAGCACCTTTCCCAGTATGGCTCCCCACTTGAATTGTCTCGTAAAGCCCAATATCAAGATTCATCTCCTCCATGAAGCGTTCTTCAGTGAAATCTACCTGGCTAGCCACCTTACCCCAATCACTCCGCCCCTCCTAAGCATGCCTGTGGTTTTTTTCTGGCACAGCTGTTAACTCACACACATAATCTCTGGGTGAGCATATGTTATTTGTGTTGCAATTTGTACTTATGTCTTCTTTTCCTCTTTTCTCAATTAGTGTGAAAATTCGTCAAAGACCCACTGCCTTCCAGTGTCACTTCCCGAGGCTCCAAATACAAGGGGAGCGCAATCAATGTCTGGAGCCCAAAGGCCAGCAGTTGACTCCTCTCTCAAGGGTCTTAGTCTGACACAGGCTTATTTGAAAACTCTACCTTAAACCCCTTGTGGAGCAAATCCAGGATAAAAAAAAAACACCCATAAACAGATAAACATGTTAGAAAGCAACTTCGGAGTTCTCGATTTTGTCATTATGTCCTTAGACCAATTTCTGAAGGAACAGGAGGATGTGGTATCACGATCTTTTTCACCATTCACATCATCTAAGAAAAGCGCACTGGAGCCTCACTGTCACACTATGAGGCACGGAGTGGAAGACAAGGGTACAGGTGGGTGACCACAGATGAGAGGTGCCCACGAGAATAACAGACCGCCCTTGCTGCAGGACTGGGCTCTTTCTTGACAGCTTGTGACCTGAGCAAGCTACCTAACGCTTCTGGGCCTCTGCCCTCGTCTGTCAAGGGAGTGCTGACGTGTCGTGAGCCTGTGACTTGATACAGTCCTGCCCAGGACATGCCATTTGTCCTATGAATCAATTCCCCTGTGCCTGTTGAGCTGCCCTGAACAAAGTCTTCCTGGCAAAGGCCACACTGAGGCTGGCCATCACGGCAAGGCTCTCCACCTTCAGTACCACGACCACTGATGTTTCCCGGCACCTCACCCGGCCCACTGTGGCTGCCGCCCTTCCTCCCTGCTGGACCCCCGAGTCCTCCCCATCTCCTCGCCCCCAAGTTAGATTTCCACACCCTCAGTTACTCTAGGAACTCTAGACTCTAGCACGACCTTGGCCTTCCGCCAGCCTCAGCCCCAGGGAATAACTCTGGCTGCCTCCTCTGCCCCCATTCGCAGGGACTGAGGTTGGCTAAGTCCACTTTATGGCTGCCCCCTTCCCAGGGAAACTCTCCTGCCAACTCTGGCGAGGTGCATGCCACCCCCTAGGGAGCCCTGCTGCCTCTTGGCAGATGGTCTTGACTGCTACTGTCCTGGGATCCTTGCTGACAGTGGGTGGCTAGACTCCATTCTCTGCCTCTTGCTCACCTCCTCTCCTTTACCTCTTGTCCCAGGGAGAGCTGCCCCTCCATTTCTGTCTGCTCCCCCTGCAGTGCTGCCAAGCACCCCCTGCTGCTGGCCCCTGGGACCACTGCTCGGTCAAACACCCCTACCCATTCCTGACAGGGGAACTGCTCTGGGGTGGAGCCTCTCCTGGCCTGGGACCCTCACCCCCCCATGCCCCCTCTGCCCATGCCAGCTCTCTGCATTCTCAAGAAGCCTCCCCCCACACCAAGGTCATGCCTGCAAGCTCCGGCCTTAACCCCCCAGCCTCTGTGCCAAAACTCTGCAAAAAGTTAATAATCATTGGCCCACTTCAAAATCACCTCTCACCTTCACCCTCTCTCTCTCCCGGGCTACTGTACCCGGGCTTGTCTGTGCCTGAGACCCCTTCCACAAGGGACAGCGACAAGATGCCCCATCCCACATGTTCCCTGACTGTGCTTTGGAATCTAACATGGCTGCTCCCTCCCCCTCCCCCCTGCTCCTCCTTTCTCCCTCCTCCTCTTGGGAGCCCTCTCCCCCTTTGTCCTCCACACCAGGGCACCTTCCTGCTCTCACCCTTCTCTTGCTCTTTCCCTGTCTCTGGCTCTTCCTGCTGTTACTGGCCCACCCATCCCACTATCTCCGAGACTACAGGGACCTTCTCCAAGCACTGGGAACACATCTTAATCCCGACCCCTACACCCATCCATCTAGGCTGTGCTGGAGAAAGACTGAGTGACTTGGGCTGCAAAACAGTCTTATAGTGAGATTCCAGAATACTGTAAGGTTAGAGTCAGTAGCAGATTTAACAAAAAAAAATCAGTCCTTTATTAATAATTACTAAATCTTGCCATAGTTTATAAATCACAGGGGGAAACAGAGTAGATTAGTCCATACATAATTCAATGCTCCATTTTAAAGGAATGGTAGAAGAAATTTAAAATTGAATCGACCATAATTTATGCTTCATATGTACTGGTGAAATTCTCCATTTTGTTACTCTTTTTTTTCAGAAGCTATTAGATAACTCAAAGCATCAGAGTTCTTAGATATCACCCATCATTTATGAAGTAGCTGTAATATTTAGCTAAGGAAAATATGCCCAACCAGAAATGCTGTTTCTCACAAATCACTGTGGGATGGCTCAGAGGGAAAGGAACAGCTTTCTACCTGACGTGCTAATCAAGCCCACGCCAGCCCCGCTGCCAGCCCCGCTGCCAGGAACGTTGAGGCCCTCTCTGGGGCTGCTGCAGCTCTCTGCTGCCTCCGCATAGGGAGCTGGAGGCCCAGAACCAGGGGCTGCCCTGGCAATGGTACAACTGGAGGAAAAGGATTTGCAATGAGGCATCTTTACTTCCCATGAGATTCTTAAGCTATTTCATGTAGCGTCAGTATCTAATGATGGGAAGTCTTAAGACCCTTTCTTGGCTCTTTGGCCCAGCCCAGAGGCTCAAGATCTCCACTGCCACCTCCTCTCCTAGCCACGCTCATCCAATGCAGCATCCTGGACACTGTTAGCACCCTCATCCTTCCCACATCCTGGCTACAAGGACTGAAAGTGGATGAGCTCAAGAGAGAGTCAGGAGGCTGGGAGGTGAGACAGGGGCCTCTAAGGAAAAGAGGTGCCCTAGGAGGAGGCTCATTAACCAGGGGGCAAGTCTTAGTTCTGGTTGGGCATAGAGAACCTCAGTTTCCCAGCCTTGAAAGGTTGGAGAATACTTACTGGTATGAAGTATACTTACTAGTCTGTAAAATATTAGGAGAGCCGTGGGTGGAAGGAGCTGTGTGAGTGCAAATTACCATCATTATTACAACTTCCAGGAGAGAAGGAAGACATACAATCATAACCCCACCTGCTGTCAGGAACAGCCCCACATTTTAAGAGCTACAGTAGAAAGCCAGAACTTGGAGAGGCTAGCCGTCTCCTCTGGTTTCTGGTTCATTACCTGTGTAGTCCTCTTCATCCTCGGGAAGCTCGGCCTGGGATGGCAGCAGAGCGGCCTTGGGGGGCTCAAGCTCCAGGGCTGAGAGCTCCAGCATCCGAGAGCGGGACTGATGGGAGCTGAAGGTGGTGTACGGGTGCTCCGCCGTGCCATATAGGATGAGGCTCCATTCCTTCAACTTCCCTGGAAGGCACCAAACTCAGAGTGACCCTGCAGCCAAGAAATTCCCTTGGGAAGCTCTTGATGCACTCTGGCCTCTTGGCCTGGCCAAAGGCCTCTGTCACTCACAGAAGTGCCTGGCACTGCCTGGCCGGGCCCCCGAGCCCTCCTTCCACAGCAGGCTGCTGCACTCACCACCCTCACGTCCTAGTTACCTGAGGACCAGGGACACCTCTACTGCCCAGGCCATGTTCTCTGCCCCCGAGTCTCACTGCAGCCTCCCTCAATTGGCTTCTACTCCCACAACTGGCAACAGCTTCCTCCCACTCTTGGAATACCCAGTGGGTAGATCCGGGGCCAGGCCTGGCCCTGAGCCTTGTCCCAAAAGCCTCCAAATTCGATAACTGGGTCACACCGAGGAGTCCTGCTGTTTGGATGCTCGACCCCGGATCCCAGGGAAACTGGTCTTGGGCTCTTTCCTTTATAGCCAGCCCCGAGGAAGGTGGGGAAGTTTGGTAAGGGGCAGCGGTGGTGCAAACCCAAATGTCCAGAGAGGCTGGGTATAGGGAGGACGTCCTCAACAAGAGGAAGGTGACTGGCAAAGACCGGCTGAGTGTAGGGAAATGAGAGAGGCGTGGGGAGGACAGTGGCTGAAGGGCAGGCACCCAGCTATGCAGCGGGGGAGGGAGGAGAAGAGGGCAGCAGGGTCCCTGCCCACTGAATGCCTCCACATGAGAACCATGGCCTGTGCTGCTGGGACCTCTCACATGTAAAGAGAAGTGGGAAAGCAGGCCTGCAATTTCCAGGTGAAATCCCTGATGTCATAAAACATATTAGGAGCCGAGTTAGATATGTTTGTGGGCTGGCTCAGTTGCAGGCCACAGGTCTGGGGTTCCCCTTCTTACTATAGTGTCGCCAGCATTCGGAGCAGGGTGACCATGTTGAGGAGGTCATTGTTGTCATTTTTGTACAAATGAGGGGCCGAGGTCCAGTGTGCCCTGCCCGCAGACACACTGCTCATGCTAATAGACTCACTGCTGCCCCAGCCTTTCAGCGTTTCTTTAGAACTAGATCAGCCCAACACAAAACACAATCTCCCAGTTGCCAGCCACCTCCATGAACCCTTACGACTGGCCACCATGACCCAAATTAGGAACAGTGTCTTTGCCAGCTTCAGGTCTGTGTGGGCTGGGAAAATCCCTGGCTTCCTCTTCATTATCTGTCATTGGGTTTCTTGGGAATCAACATTCTTTAGGTGAGGGAAATTATTGCTCTGATTCTTTGGTATCTATTTGTCTTTTTATTGTCACTTCTGCTCACACTACTCTACGTCTTTGCTCTGAATGGCAGGTCATCTGCCTTTAGATATCTGTCTATATACCATGTTTGCAATGTGGGAAGCTCTGCCAGTATATGTTTATCTTTTATTCCAATTCTGGGAATCTCTTGCACTCCCTAAATCCCAGAACAGGCACCCTGCTTGTCCATATACCCCATAAGCCTGTGGGCTGTAATCCACACTGTCCTAGGTGGATGCATGGAGGACAGAAGCAGAACTGGCCTGCAGCTCTGTTGGAGGAGGCCATTGAGAGAACGTGACTACCAGCTGACCTGTGAGCTGGACCAGGGAAACTGGAGGTTCCTCACCCCTCCCCTGTCGTTGGGATGTACTTCTGCTCACGGTTCCCACACTAGGAGCCATTTCAAGGATACAACCTTGAGAGAGTAAGGTGTTGCTGAGACCATGTGGACTGAATATGTGACTGAACTCCATTAAGGCCTCTGTATAAACTTTTAAGATACGGCGGGTGGGTGTGGAGATCTACTCATCTTGTGGTGCCCAAGACAAGCTCAAATGTAAGCTCCCCTGTTTATTACAAATGCCACCTACTACTCTGGAGTGTCTGCCTCTTTCTTTGGTCTCTCCTTGCCTTCTGTGTATGGGAACCAGTTTTGAATTTCACCCAGGAACTCTTGGGGTTGCAAAGCAACTGCTCACCAGGCCAAACTCTGGTGCTGTTCTAAATGGCGTTTGACTTTGATTCAGTTCCACAACATAACACAGAGCAGTGCTGTTTCTTTTAATCATCACTCTAGCCAACCAAGGTCCAGGCCGTGAGAGCCTGCAGCCCCCAAGCCACCTCGAGTTGGGCCCCGTGACACCTGGGCCTCTCCCGGTCTGGCCAGGATTGGAGAGTATAGTTCCTTCAATTTGAAAAAGCAGTCTGAGCCATTTCACTGGACACTGTCCTCTACAGGGCGTGGTTCTTTTAGACATTCTGTGGCCATTTCCCTAACACAGTCCTAACACAGGCTACAGTCAACGATGACAAGGCGAGAAGCACTTCACACGGGCGCAGGTGCAGAGAACACAGTCCCTGGTTATGAATCCTCATCCGTTCTCAACTCCTTAGGATCAAATTAAAGCTACAATTCAAAACCACAAAGCAATTTGGGCATTTTAACTACTGAGTGACGAACTGTGATTAAGGTGGGAGCATAATGACTACACGACAGAGACCATGGGCCCTGTGAGCTATAATTTGAGTCGAAATTTATTTCAACACTATATGATGTCTCCAAAAACACCCACCAAAGGCCTCGTCCCTAAAATTAGATTCTTATTTTTGGATATAGTTTTGGCAGGACAAACAAGAGGGGCTGCTCTGGGCTCACGATCAGCACACACCCTGAGTGGAGGGAGAGGGAGCAGAAAGAATTCCAAGAAACCACGAGAGCAGATCTAAAGAGTTCTCATCACAAGGAAAAAACCAATTTTTCTCTTTTGTGTGTGTGTGTGTCTGTATGAGATGATGGATGTTAACTAAACTTATCATGGTAATCATTTCATGATATATGTAAGTCAAATCATTATGCTCTACACCTTAAACTTATACAGTGCTGTATATCAATCATATCTCAATAAAACTGAAAGAAAAAAAAGAATTCCAAGAAACCAGCAGAGGAGGTGGCTTGCAGGAGGAGGCTGGGGTTCAGGAATGGAAGACAGACTTCATTTTTAATGTTTTCCCTTGGGGTCTGTTTGATGTTTTAAAAAAACCACAGCATACATTAACTTTCACATATATAAATTGTTTAAAAATTTAAGTTTAATTAAAAAATATACGAATGAAGTGATTGTATGGTCAAGGAAGAAACATTAAAAAGCTTTGGTACTCAGGGCTTTTGATTCACATTTCTGAGTAAGTAATAAATATGAATGGCTTAAAGTCCAAAAGTATAGGGGCCAGCCTGGTGGCATAGTTAAGTTCACATACTCTACTTTGGTGGCCTGGGGTTTGCAGGTCCGGATCCTGGGTGCGAACCTAGCACCACTTGTCTAGCCATGCTGTGGCAGCATCTCACACAAAAAATGGAGGAAGACTGGCATAGATATTAGTTCAGTGACAATCTTCCTCAAGTAAAAAGAGGAAGATTGGCAACAGATGTTAGCTCAGGGTCAATCTTCCTCTCACACACATACACACACACACACACACACACACACACGCACACAAATCCAAAAGTCTAAAAGAGAATACAATGGAAGTTTCCCTCCAGCCCCATCCTCTGGCCACCATCTCTCTTCCCATAGGCAACCCAGTTACTTGTTTCTTGTGCATCTTTCCAGAGCTATTTATTCTTATCCCAGAAAATATGAACACAGATTCTGCCCCATCCCCTTCATTAACACACCTGGTAGCACCTTCTGCACCTTGCTTTTTCCATTAACAATGCTTCTTGGTGATCTTTCCATCAACTGCACTTGAGAGATGTCGCATCATTTACTTAACAATCCCCTATTGACAGGCATTTAGATTGTGTCCAAATATTTCCAGTTATGACAGTGCTATACCCTTGGTCATACAAGAAGGGACCCAGTGAGGCGGGCAAAGCAAGGACCCTGGGGTGACATGGTCTGGGTTTGAATCCCAGCTCTGCTACCTACTAGCTGCGTCACTTTGGGCAAATTACTTAATCTCTCTGTTCTTTGGTTTCCTCATCCATAAAGAGGGGATAAGAATAATAATAATATCTACCTTATGGAATTGCTTGGGGGATCAAATAATTTAATGTCAGTAGAAGACTTAGAATAGTGACTGCACATAGAAGTCATTACGTAAGTGTTTATTAAATAAAATCTAATGAATATATCATTTCATATGTGTGTAAGTATATCTGTAGGATACATTCCCAGAAGTAGAATGGGGGAATCAAAAGGAATGTGAATTTGTCATTTTGATAGACATTGCCTAATTGCCCTCCATGGGGTCAGGTCACTTTATACTTCTCCCAGGGACATATCGACAAGCCTGCTCCTGCACAGCCTTGGATGGACCATCTGATAACTCAGAGAAGTTCACTTTGCATTTCTCTTACTGACACAAGAAGCAGAGCATCTTTTCATATGATTAAGAGTGAGACACCTTTCTGATTTGATAAAGTTTGAAGCAATTCATAAACTCAGAAATTTACCAAAAATATTTGCTTGAAACAAGTGATGAAACTTCAAAGATGAATGAAAGTGCATCTTAGCCAAGTTTGCACCAAGTACAAGTGGACCAAGAAGGTGTTCTGCTCACTTGGTTTATATTTCTGTTCCTTCTCCCCACCTGCAAGAGATCTTCATGAGAGCCTGTGAGGGGGCAGGCACTGTGCTAAGCAGTCAGGAGCATGGAAGAGACAGCAGGCAGGGAGAGGGCAGTGGGCGGCAGTAACCCCACCTGCTCCCCTTTCCTAGTAGGGGTTATGTGGAAAACTTGACCTGAGGGTAAGGTTGGACACATTGCTCTCCTTTCTCTTGTACTTAAAGGTGGACATGCTCTTTTTAACTCTACCAAGGGAGTCTCTGACTTTTTCTGCTTTCATAAGACATGAAAATAAGTGGTCCCGTGTATGGCATAAATGTGAAGTGCATTCTCTTTTTAAGTTATTTTTTCCTAATTATAAAAGGACGACTATTAAATACTGAAACATATAAAGAAGAAAATAAAAATCACCTATAATTTGCTTGGCATAGTCTC